TTAATTTTTTTCTTCCATCATAGCATCTCTTCGTCGGCATTGACCACCATTGGGAATATCTAACTGATGAAGCAGCATACTAGTGACCTGGAGTACCAAGACTGTATGGAAGAGTTATGGCTGTTCTAGCTATTATGCTCAGAATTTCACAAATCATAAGATACCATTTTTCATTACCTAATATAAAATGCATATTTTTGCAACGAATCCCCTGCTAGGGAAGATTCTTCCAAGCCATAACTCGCTTTTATATTAAAGAAGTGTTATTAAAATATCTCATTCTTGAAAAGCAACCTTTATAAAAGCTAGGTTTACAATCGACACGTTCGAAGAACAACTTCAGATCAGCAAAATCAATTAACTTAGGGAAGCATTTCATAATGAATCTGCTTGGATGTTCTCATCTACATGTGCAAAGTACTGCTGAGGACGTAGCGGAGCATAAAGTAGTGCTTGGGGACAATATGATATCATGGACCATTTACGATCAAATACCATAAAACTGGTTTTATTTTAACCAGTAACATATGTCATCGACTGCAAAGAGGTAACAGAACGGTGTGCGATTGTAAATTTTGTTATATATTGATGTTAATCACCATAATATATTTTAACTACATTTTTGTAAATATATCGGTTTATTTTACAATATAATTTTCAAACACCCAGACGGGTTGTGAGGTGTGGCATAAGCTGTTTTGATGTACATAGTTCCCCGTACTATTCTTTATTCTGCCAATACAATTATATATTAAATTGCACTTGAAATAAAAACTCTCACAGTAGCGTTTATGCACTGTTAAATTATACATATAATGTAGCAGTGTTCATGGTTTTATGATCATTAATTGCATGAATGATTTAGTCCCGCGCGATATAAATGCTCATGTTAAGGGGAGTAGAAGGACATTTAGCGATTCTCGTCTGGTGCTTGTTCTAACTAATGTATGGTTATACGCTGTTTGTTCAGGTTGTATTACTTACTTTCGTGCATACTGAATTGTAGCAGTAAAAGCCACTTCGTGTGTTGTTTTTGGGAATGATTAGCAAGTTCAGGAACTTGCAGATAGAGACGGGACACCACATATAAGTAAAGTTATACATATATATAAAAGTTTATACACGAACTTACATGCAAACATGTACCAAAATTATATCACACCAGCCCAACCTATTTTTAAAATAAGAATCTCGAACTTCATAAAAATATCGAAGTCTGCGCGTTTTAATTTCCAAACCCCATAAGTATATTTCACATTACTTTGGTCTTGATATTACATACTACAGATAGTTTGTTGGAAATTGGGAATTATTTCCATATTACCTAGATACATAAAATTCCATTAGTACGTATTTATTAAAAATTCAAAGCGTAAAATTCAAATGAAAACAAATTAATAATGTGAAAGACGTTGTGAAATTTCAACTGTTGTTGGAATGTTAATTAATATATAAAAAAAATGAAAAGTTTTTTGCAACCATTTTTTAAACTAAAAAAGCCCGGTAAAATGAAACTTTATATACAAACGGCCAATATAATTTGGCGAATAGTATTTGACAGTGTTAAAGAGGTTGTTGCTGCGTTTGAATAAAGTATGTTTGCAGTTTTGCACTAATATATACTTCTATTACGATTGAGTACGAGGAATGTTGCACAATGCTTCCCACTAGTGATGTTTTAAGAATACAAGAACAATCTGATTCATACAGAAATGTAGTTGAAATGGTTTATGAGCTGCGATCACTAATACAGAGTAACAACAAATGAAGAGCTTACACATATCTATTGAATCCATTCACGTAATCCATTCATGTAATCAAACCAAAGATACAAAAAGCTCTAGAAATGAATACTGTGGGTTTCATGAGTGATCTTGTCCATGCCTAAATAATTGATACTTCATACCAATAAACAAAACTTAATTTTCGATATTTTACCTATAGTAGCTGCGTAATTTCATTTCGATAAACAAAACGTTATTGTTTTTCCAACTGTTGAAAAATTCTCCAAAGTATGTTTTCATTTTCTGTGATGAACTCTAAACATTGTTGGAAGCTCATTTTGAAATTTGACCAAACAATCATTTTTTTTTCCAAAATTGGATACATTGATGAACACGAAAGCTCGATATCAAGTTACTTTCGGTATGAAATACCCAGGGATACCTAGAATATGTGTGATACTGTGGATATTGTGACCAAATCAGAGTATCATGAACTTAAGATATGCTTTTAAGATTTACGATTTACGAAGACTTACGATTAAAGATATGTCATTACTTACCGCCGTTGATCGGTAAGTATGTTGATAGGTATTTGTCTGTTTGATTGTCTTTCTGTTTGTTTGTTAGATACACGCGATATCTCACGAAAGCGAGGTTGAATCTACTCCAAATTTTGTGCATTCATCATATCTCGGACCAGAAGCCTATTGATTATGGATGATTTATGTTGTATAACTAGCGAGTTATTAATTAGTTAGTGATGGGACACGCGGTGTCGCTATTGGGTAAAAGCAAAGGATACACGCCGCTAGTCGGCGGTCTCGGATCGCCATCTCGTTACTATTTCAATCCGTATCTTTGGGTAGACTGAGTTATCATTGCTAAGCATGTTTACTTTTTGTTATAATTCCAAAAATAGGAATTCAAGCACTCACATTCAATTGATATTACACAAACTATTATCTCAAAGTGCTGATGAAAGTATCATCGTCTTATCCGATTGAAGAATGTTGTCAACCCACTGATCAACACCAGAGATCTATCATTGAGTATCATGTATGGTTCATATGAATCAAATAATAATAACATTTACCGTGTATTTAAAATAATATATCAACTTTAGTTATTTTTTGCATTATTGCATCTCATCATCGACATGACCTTTGACAAATAACATATGTGGATACCATACGGTATCTACCTAATGATTAAGCAGGCTGTATAGTGCGCTGTTGTACCAAGACTATGTACAAATTATGCCTGTTTTATCTAATTACTCAGTATCTCACAAATTGCTTTATTATAAGAAATTTCAAATTGCTCAATATGAAATGCACGCTTTCATAGCGAATATATATCCCTTACCAAAGAAACGACATAACTCGCTTTGGACATACAATTCATCAAAATTCTAACTGCGTTTTGCTTATATAAACGTTCATTGTAGGCTATTTTTACTGATATTCCAGTAAATATCGATCGAAAGTCCATTAGATTTGTTTATATAGACGACTCACGTAATGAAGAAAATTGTCGCTTGGCTTGAGATACCATATTTGATAGTACATTTTGAATACATTAAAAACAATATTGAGCGAGTGCGACTACTTCATCGTGGTTAACACGGAACCTCAAAAAGTATATCTTCAAAGTAGAAAATTTCAAAATGCTGGATAAGTTTATGTAAACCGTCCACAAGAGAATTTTGAGCACTTATGTAGAATTATATTATTTAAATACTTTACCGTTGCCGTAGCGTCGATATATTTCTTTTAGTGATTTCTGTGAACCTGTTAAATAATATTAGCCTTTTAGCTCAGTGGTATACGGAGGAATTAGTTTTGTATTTTAAAAAACAGAGGAAATCAACTGTGACGTCATATTAGATTGCAGCTAATTCGTGATGGCGAAGTCATAACCAGTGTTTTTATTTAATGTAAATTGTATTACGGCGTCATAAATAAAAATCTACATAAACTATAAGATTGCAGTTATAAGGAAGTATAGTCGGCGGTAACTTAAATGTTGGTGAAACTAAATTAAAGCTGTATTAATTAAACGTCATTGTAACAGAAAACGTCACGTTAAAACACTCGTTACTAGACGCGAGGTGAAAACTGTATACAAACTAGAATATTTGATGTAATTTAATAGTAGCCTACTGCAGTTTTTATCGAATATACCCTGGTGAAAATATGCGGAATGGTTCAACTGTTGAATACTAATACACGGTGGTAACACATTGAGCATCTTACGTAATTTATTGAAGGAGGAAGTCAAAATCGTTTGAATATTATGCATCCTCTTAAAAATTGTAATAAAGAGAGGAATGACGTATTACAATGATTACTTTTTAGCGAGCGGTCAAAATTTCTTTATCTTGATTAAACATTCATAGTTTGAAAATAAAACTATGGATCGATATCGTGGGATACATGCAATTTTAGTAAAACAGTGAAATGTATTTTGCAGGAGGAAGGCATTTAAATGCGTGGGATAACACAACATTAGTAACGGTTAGTGACCTACAAATCATTTTATCGTAGGTATAGAGCACATGCTATATTACTCAGGTATATTATATATACAGGTGGACAGGGTTCCGTTCAACCTGATTAGAAAATCTGTTATGTCAAATTATGACGAAATGAATCCCTAAAATCATGCACTTCACCCACAGCAAATTGAAGTACCAAAATTAGCAGTATGAAGAAAATACGTCTGTCAATGAGAGGCTGAATTGCGTTAGTCTAAATTGTTAATAAAAACGTAAAACGTCATGCTTTTGACTCGACCCAAATCTATAGGTCATTCGAAATGCCTACATAAGTTCCAGTACACACAGACAGTGTTATGCAAAACCGTTATTGTAGATCATCAGTGGGCGGAAGGAGGAGATAAGTTTAACGATATTCAACTTGCGAGCTGCTGTAATACAAGTAAGGTATTTGGTTCAAACCATCGGAAAGTGTTTCCAGAGCACAAAATAAAGGTTTTATCATAAATGTAATGCCAACAAACACTTGTTGTCAAGAATAATAAACCAATATCGTTCGCGGTTGATGTGATGTCCAATAGTTTGCTGACTAGTCGATACTTAAACCTGAGACCAGTTATGTATTGGGCCACCATCAGAACAGTTCGGCAAGCGATTCTGATATTTCTATTCTTCTGTGATTCATTGATAGTTATGTTGTGATGGCGTGAATATTATTATAAGCGTATCACCCCCTGATTACATTGCTTCCGTGATTAGGGAATATATGTACCACGTATGACTTAAAATGGGCGAAAGGGCAGCAGTATTTGGCATAACGCAGTAAAATTTAAATTAGGAATGCCATACGTTGTTTGGCTATTTGCACCATTGTCGTAATAAGTTCAAAAAAGACGGTCGAGCAAAATTATATTCAATTTGAAATTGGCGTTGAATAATATATGTTTTATAAAAAGTAAATCAGATATAAAAAAAAATATACTTATACAACCTCTATCTGGATATTCAAGAGGTTACATATTTAAGGAGGTATTATTGCAGAGTTCGTGAAATATCGGAATCCAAAATCTTCTTCAGGTATCAAGGGTCATTCTTCAACGGAAACCATGCAATTAATGAATATTTGGATATTTTTCTGTGAGTACTCGAAATATCGATATATGATGTGAAACATTTGTCTTTTAATTTAATGTTAAACTTTGTGATCAATCTTCATAAATAATAAATAGAGCAAATATATTGATAATAAAAACATCCTTTTTCTTTCAGTTTTTCTTCGCCAAGTGCAAAGTGATTGTTCCAGCCCGAGCAATATCGCAAACGGAAAAAATATGATATCTGCTGACACTCATTATTTCTGGAACAAATGTTCGTGGAACTTTAATCTCCCCGGCGCTACCGCACTTTATCTACAAGTCACTGAAATCAGATTAAATTCCTATATTTTTGTAAAATATTGCAGCGCGAAGCTTTATTTTAATAAAGGTATAAGAGTTTGCATTTAGAAAATATTAGTGTCAATAGTTTTCATATTGTACGAAATGAATTCATTATTTTGGCTTTAAAAAAAATAGGGGAAACCATGCAGTGTGAAAATCCCAGAACTATACCAAATGAGACTAAAAATGTCTACACAAATTTCTGAACCATATAATATATAACCAGCTTATGATTATATCTTGAAAAAATCATACATTATCTCATTGCTAAAATATTTTATAAATTTAAGAATAAGAATAGAGTGTTTACAGTTTAAAGGGTTATTTTTTAGAAGAACTAAACAATTGCAAGAATGACGACAACTTCTGTGTTTTATATACGTCGAGTTCGTCATGTAGGATTTCATCAACAGCGTTTTCGACTTGCCATCATAGACGTGAGACTTCTAACATTTTAGTTAAGCTTGACGGAGCTGGATTGCTGAAAATGAGTTATCAATTTCTTCCATGCTTGCAAGGTATTTGTTGAAAGCATTAGTTACAATTTCTTAAATATTCACCTAAACTTACACACCAAACAATGACTTGAAAAGATAAAATCTGCTTAGATATGTGTCAAAGTTTGGAGTATGTGCACAAAACACGGAAAATAAATTTCTCAATTCAAAATAAAATGGGTCGTTGTAGTACCATAGGGAAGATTAGGACTCTATATTTCAGGCTTATTTTTAGACTATTATACATTGAATTTCATAAAAACTGACAATTTCTTTGATGACTAGGTTAAATATGGCGAAATTATACCCTGCAAACAATTAAAGAAAATTACATTGTGCAATTGTTGCTTTCTTTATTTGCAGTTGGTAATTTGCAATTGATTTTTGTAAAATTCTCGAAAATGATCGACTCACGTTGTTCGTAATAGAGAAGATTCGTAGATGACAAAACTTCATATTTATGTCTAGATATGAAAAGAATGGTTGGCATCGTTTGGACATCGTTCTAATGCATGGATAATGCCCATTTCTCCAACCCCAGAGAAAACAGTGTCACTAACTGATACTGATACTGATACTGTTCCTCCAATAAATACATTGTGAGAAACCCTATTTGATATAATGTATGTTATCACATACATTTCGCTAATTTATTTTATATTCAGACACAACTACAGATACAATCGTAAACAAAACTTCGTCGTTTATCCGACATCATCACCTGAACCACGGATGACGCGGCAATTGCGACAACAACAACAAATAGAACATCAGGTAGCGTCACATTTCCGTTTGTAACATATACTTCATATTTTTCTCTAATTACTTCACACAATAAGATTGGCGTTGTAGACGTAAAGATCATTAGAATTATATTATTATATTAAGTTTTCCAACGTTTCATGAATTTGTATCTGCATGTTACAACTGACCATATATTATATATCTTGATCTATAGCGATTTATCCGTATTCGTATCAAAACTACATTAACAAATATGTATTATTGCGTAGGTGATAATTCATCTGTGTCACCAACATACATTATCCGTGACATGTCATCTCTCACGCCACCTATTGATGGAGAAAATATAACTTCAACAACGATGATTATGCCACAGAGTGTTTTTAATATCAGAAAATTGGATTTCACATACGCGCGATGGACATATATGTGTATCAAAGCTATTTATTAGTTTGGTACAATACTTGTTGTCTATCCAAGCAATACGTTAACTTATGTTTTTTTGTTTGTTATTCAGCAACTTATTGGAACGTTCGTCAAACATCAAGAAATATAATGACAGCGACAAGTGATAAAGATCCTACCAGAAAGGATTCGAAAATAAATCTTGAAATATTGATACCAATTGCAATCATATTGTCACTGGTTTTGATTGTCTCAGCAACAGTACTATTCTTTTATTGCAGGTATATCTCAAATAAAATACCAGTGATAACTGATAACTCTCTGCTGAGAATTTTTAAAACAAAGCAGGACGTAGTTGCAGTTCACAAACCAAGTTAATCGCATCTTCAAAAAGTTTTAGTTCAGTTTTCATAGAGTTTCTCTAATCTAGTTTTAGCAACTTTAGTAAATTGATATACCTTAATTGTCTTCTATCTTAAAATTTGCGATTTCGGTTTTGATCTTATGCTACGATTTGTTACCTTTACTTCTTTCTATTTTGAAGGAAAAAAATTCCACTAAAACTATGTTTGGAGACTCAGATACGGCAGTCGTTGATTGTAATATTGATCAAACCAATTCAAACAATCGAGCATCAGGGATGATTGATAATATCATTTATGGCACTTCCACCAACGATATTGCCAGTGACCATCCCGAAACCATTGACAATATTCTCTACATGACTTCGGATCAGGTGGTAAAGTCAGAATATACAAAGACTTCTGAAAATACAAGTGATGTACAACCGGAATATGCGACTGTTAATAAAATCTTGAAACCAGGTAATGAAGAAGAAAAGAAGTTGAAAGAATGCGCAAATGAAGAAAATCCAAAAACTTCTTCCAATATGCATTTATACGCAGTTGTACAAAAAGGAACATAAAAAACTAAAAGTATATTTGAATATTATATAATTTTAAACTTCATGCTGTTATTATTGGAAGAGGGAAAATATTTGTTTGCATTCAAGACGTCTTTCATAATATGCAAAACTATGGGATATACCCATTTTTAATTGTTTCAAATAAAATACTATGAATTGAATGATATTTTCAGTTAATAAATAAATATCTAAGCTTCAGAAATTTGTCAAACATATCGTATTCCTTATTTTTTTTCTTTTAGAGGAAATATTGACAGCGAGTCGTTGACAAAATATCAATGCATACTCTGTAATGGCTACCAATGTGCATGGCGACAACTGATCCCCCAATTCATATCCAATTCCAAATCTATCTATTTCAGTTCAACGGGTAATATCCGTTATTTAGAATATTGAACAGTTCTAATATTAAGCCTATGTTAAAAGCAAAATGGTACCAAGCTAATTTAGGCGGCAGTCACATTATGTCAGACATTAATGATACATTAAATTTTGGATTTTTGTGTTGGTTTGTGAGTCCTTTAGAGCCTAGTGGGTTACAGATGACCCCCAAAAGTAAATGTTTGTAGATTGCCAGATATTCACTCATTGACATGAATCTTATAGTTGGTTATCATATCCGAGAATTATTTCGACGCCAGATGATGCTAGAGGGCCCCTGCGTTCGACTTCTCGCACGGTGTTCACAAATCGACTGGAAAGATCCCGAGTGTGTGAAAAATCGTATTCAAACGTTAGTGATGTTTAGATAAATTTTCTACTGCCTCAATCGTGAATCAGGGAACGAGCATGTCAAGCGAAGACAATTCTTTGAGTGGTGATTCTCTGCCAAATCTTTTTCGACAATATTCAAATATCGATTCCCAAGAAAGATAGGGTGGATCAGTGGCCAATAAATAAAACCCTCAAGAACCCTCTTAAACACCTCTTTTTGTATTTTTACTTATTAATGGCTGAATTACACGTTTTTTTTTGGTTTTTTCTCTATTTGGACGTGGTTTTCAAATTACGGGGTGGGTAAAAGGTGACCCCCTGGTCCTTGAAGGTAAACAAATTTAAAATTATTTTCAATATAATTCTTGAATTCATTGACGTCATTTTCAAATATTTGACATAAGATTACATTGATAATACTATTTTTTCATTAATTCCGCGGTCTGGGTAACGGGTGATCCTCTAGAGCAGTGCTCCGCAACCTTTTTTAACTTGCGGCACACTTATAAAACTTGCCAAATTTAACGGCACATCACAACAAACGAAAAGCACAAGGTGTAACTTTGTTTTATGTTCATATAACAATGCTTTTTCGGAGACTGTAAAAGACGACTTCACATAGCACTCTTACTTCCTTTTTTGACTTAACAACCGCTGGAAATAATATATATTCTTGCGTGCATGAACGGCATGTTTCCTATTTAGGTGGCGCATAATTTTACTCGGAAACATTGCTTCATTTGAAAGTTGCTCCCCCCAAATAACCAGACTGGTTTTGGAGCATATCCGTTACCACAGCAGGAAAATCCATATTTGACGTAATCTTCCCTGTATTTCTTTTAACAAGTTTTTTTTCCCAACGTTGCATGTGCTAGGTACATATGTTGCTCAGTATCAGCTGTTCTTTTTAAAAATTATCCATTTTGCTAAACTTCATCGTTCCTTGACTTTTTTAATCAAAGACCACTGGGTACTGATTCTGCAAACTCACACTTTATTTATATTCGATTACTACACGGAATCGTCAGGAATTTGAATTAGTGTCGCTCAAGCTATCGTAAAAGAAGGTCAACTTTACCTTAGTAAAGTAGAGTGATAGACTAACGCAAAATTAACGAAAGATAAAAATAATTTGTAAAAAGAAGAGGAAAGTTGCAATTCCCGTGCGGCACACCTGGCATCGTCTCGCGGCACACCGGTGCGCCGCGGCACACCGGTTGCGGAGCACTGCTCTAGAGCAGGGGTCGGCAACCTACGGCCCGCGGGCCGGATCCCGTAATTATGACGATATTTTGTTTTCTTGACATTGCCTTTATCCTTTAGGCCAGGGGTGCACAATTTTTTGCTATTGGCGGCCACATTGCATTTATTTGTATTGCAGCAAGCATAATGGTTGCACAATTTTGAAAAAAAAATCGAAAGCCGGGGAGGGGGAGGGGCGGTTGCCCCCATTTTTTGTCCCCAAAAGTATAAATAAACGCCAAATATTTTGATGAATTTATTCTATAAAAGTTTGCAAAGCATTATAGCAATTTAATTACTCCCTTGGTCTTGCATGTGGGTTGCCGAAACGCGTGATCAATCTGAACCGTGAAGTGAAATCCCCAACAGTAAATACACCATCAAGATTGTGACACATCGTGTCGTCTGACTTTTTTGCAGTGCTTCTGTTTTGCTTCAATATACGCCAGCATAGCCAAATCCTATATTTTGAACTTTTAGAGGATTAAAAGTTATACTTTTTATAGGATTTTGTATGTGGACGGCCGCATTATTTTTTTACGACGGCCGCAGGTTGTGCTCCGTTGCTTTAGGCCTACATGTTTACCAACTCAAAAAGCGAGTATACACATTAACGACCACAAATTCAGTTTTATTTTAAACGCAGAAATTTTTATTTTTCGTGTAAGTGCGCCGTGAATTTTTTCATCGAAATTTTTCCGCCGAAAGAACAAAAAGTTTGGTAACCGCGACCTTGTTCAAGTGAATCTCTGTTGTTTGACTGTGCTCGTGATGTGTACGTGAAAAAGTGGTGTAGAAGACTGGTCTTCGCAGACAATCTACCTCACTTTAGTAATATCAACAAGGTAATTTGGCTTATTCAGAGCACCATGTAATTCAGCCCAATGCAAAACTTCTGATCTGCTTAAGATATGACCGCAATGCATTTGGTCAGCCAATGGACGATATAACTGTTGGCACGCTCGTATAGATTACTCAAAAGCCTGTCATCATTCTGTACAATATTTTAACTGGGAATCAATATATGTTTTCAATCGATTCCGACATTCTGGCATGATACCAAGGTGCAAGGAAATTATCTAAATATTAGACGAATAATATTGTATACATTATTCCAAGCTATATTTCCATTAACTTCCATATAGATTACTCGTAAGCGTTTCATCCTTCTGTACGGTATCTTAACAGTAATATATACTTGTTTGCAGCCAATTTCGGCATTCTGGCGTGTTAATGAACAAGGAGATTAACTAACCTGATAATATTGTATATATTATTCTAAGCTGCATTTTAATTGACATTCTTGCATGATACTATAAAGACAGGCAACTTGCGTATTATTCAATACATCATTCTAGGCTGTAAACAAATTACACAGTGAGATAGTGCCAGCGGTGAGTCCCAAAAGGTTCGGTCCCCTTGTAAAGTATAAAATCTCCATACTGCAATGCAAGATTATTTTAACGCGCATGTAAGCAGCCATTCCATGTATCGTTTGCCAATGTTTTTGGTGTGAGTGATAGTGATCGTGGGAATAAGTGTATATTTCTGTTTAACTACTTGTTCTTGCTTATATTATACTAGATTTTTCATTCGATACCAACATTGTGAAATTGTGCAAAGTCTATACACAAATGCCTATGTCTAATATTATCGAAAATCGCTCGCATAATTCACTTAATCAAGAGGATCAACTTTGAACTTGAGTTTATTATATTTAAAGTATATATTGTACTCTAGACAAAAGTCGTCAATTCTTTGTCCGCTTGAATCATACCAGGGCCGGATTAACCATTAAACAATATAAGCACGTGCTTAGGGCACCAAGCAAAGAGGGGCACCACAGAAATTTTAGAGCAGAATTTTATATAATTTATCGGTGTTTATTAAAATATTACGAGTTCACCACACGACTCAAACATGTTCGCTCAAACAAAATGTTCGCTTATTTCTCGTCTTCAAGTAGGCTATCATATTAATACATCATATTATATAATATAACATATCATATTATTGGACACGAAATAGGCCTATGAGTCGTTTTCTTAAATTGTTGTTGTTTTTCTTTTCTAGTATTCTCCTTGTTGCTGCATATTTGTTTAAAAAAAAATTCTTTTCTCTTCAACAATTGGACCAATATACTATTTACACTATGTGGCAGTTCAATGATCGCATTTCAACGATCTGGTGGTCAGCGAAGTCGGGAGTTTTTTGATAAGGTAGACCAGAGTAGTCCAAACCCTGTCATGCTGATACTGTTATAACAGCAAACCTGAAAAGAAACTCTAAATTTCTAATAATATCACGAAAAGACTCTATTCTGTCGCTCTGGAGAGGATTATCATGTGTGCTCCATATATTCTCATGGCTGTCATAATTAGATAGTGAGATACTTTGCACACGTGAAGTGATATCCCCATCAATTCGAATAATTATGGGAAATCCTTGCCAAGTACGGTAAGGCGAGCAAGAGCCTTTTGCACAAACTGAATTCATCCTTTATTTGAATCGATAACTGAAACCGACTTCCCATCGCTCCTGCCTGACTAAGCAGGTACATACTATATATGACGTAATAGGTCCAGTCTGCAAGTTTGCACACTTAGGGTGAAATTTACCATAACAGTATCCCAAGTTCCAGATATGATTCCGGCGAATTATTGGAATACAATACGATAGCAAAAATCTTCCTGTTAATCCTCAAATTCTTGTCAAAAGATAACCGGGTTTAAAAAGAGAAATCATGATATATTATATTTGTAGCCCAAACTTAGCAAAAATACCTGCAGGATAGATAGCTGGGCCTAGAAACTGTCGACAAGAACAAGAATCACACAGAGTTTCAGACCCTCTGCTCAAGGGATTCCTAAAGAAAATAAAGCCCAAACTATTTGTGCGACAGCAAAATGTGGCCCAAATATTTCCGTCGCCCAAATACAGCGAAAATAACCCTGTGTGGTCGACCAAATCGATAAAATAGGAATACATATATATAAATTGCATATTTGCTATTTTACAATCGAACGTTATAAATATATTCAATGGTTGCATTGGCTTTAACATAATTTTGGTAATTTAGAATACTGAGTCACCACGTGCTATTTTTGTCAGTCGGTATTGGCGTGCTCGTTTCAAACTATTTCGATAAGAAGAGAAGGCTGAAGTTTTAATTGCAGTGCATGTAATGGATTCTCTCAGGATCGCAATAATATATGTAAAGTTCGACTGGTTATATCATAGTAGCATAACATACTATTTACCTCTGGAAAGAGGTAATCTAATAACAATGATTAACGTATTGCAAACCATGTCAAGTCAATCAGTACATTTGTGATCATGGCCGTTCTAATATATTGTATTCGAAATTCATAGAATGTGAAAATAGTGGTAAAGTGTACGAATTATAACAAGAAAGATCAAAACATCACCAATTTACAACTTTACGCGAAGAATATGAATCAGTACATAAATATATTTTTTTGTTCAGTTGGTAATCTTGAGGGTAATACAGGGCTTGGCATTCAGTTTCCGAGATAATATAGCGAAAAGTTTATGCTACTGCTACGAGTCTGCTACTCGTTGAAAAAGGAATAGGGTGCTCGCCGCACATGAAGTTTGTGCATTCCTTCTATAATATGCAGTCAGAGCAAAGAGTGTGTGTTTGTATAAGCAAATTTACTGAAAGCAAGGTTACGCGCATCACTCAAAAATATAGAAAATAATCTCTGAGCAAAGTTACAGGACACAAATGAAGTTGAGAGAACTACTGATACTTCTCTGTTTTTGCACCTTTTGCCAAGGTTTCTTGTGCTTTTTGACGGTTTTTCATTGTTTTTGCACGTTTTAGCAAGATAATCACGGCGTAAAAATAGGAATTGCTATTGGTTAGGACTGCAACACGAAATAAAAACTTCATAACAAAAACTTAGATTTTGAAATATTTGTTTGTCGAATACAAAATTTATCACGATTGTAAAATTCGAATTAATCGTTTGGTGAATATGAAAATATTTACAAAACGTCGAATCCTAAAGCTTTGTTTACCGAATATGAGATATAATCTTCACAGATATTTGCAAGTTCATGTTTGTTTCCCAATGTTCACTAAATTGAAATTTCGTTTCTGCACTTGTTTCAGTCCTATATATCGTTCAAAAGAATATGAGACAAAATAAGATTTCGCCTTGAAGTGGTGGGAGTGACGTGTTGTAGCAATTGTGTTCGTCAGACAGTGGGTAAAAATTACTAATCGAGTACGCTGTGAACAATCAAATGGAGATAAACAAGAGAGTTATGCTCAAATTATGGGTACATAGCGCAACATAGGGCAAAATTGTGATGACGTCATATCACACGAAGAAACGAATCCCATACAGCACACCGGGATATTTGAAATAAATAAAAGTAGTTAGTATTTTAGCACTGAAAATTTAAAGCGATTAGTTC